TGTAGTGAATGATTTTAATAAAATATTTAATTTAAGTATTAATTATATATTTTTAAAAATTATTAATTAATTAGAATATGTGAGTTTGATCAAATTTTATTTTCATTCATATATAATACGTGAGGGTTGTTTAAAATTATAAATGAATGTAGATTTTTTTAAATTATTTTAACAAATCCAAAATTTATAATATGTATAGTAATAAAATTGAAATTCGTCTAATTAACATATTATATTATTTATTTTCTTTACTATCTTGTTGGTATTAATTAATATGTTATAATTTAAAAAAAAATTATATTATATTATAAAATGTTATTAGTTGACTAATTTCTTAAGATGCCATTATTGACAATTGTACATTTTTCATCTAGCTCTTCAGCTAGTTTTTGCCAAATATATTTTGTTCATCGGCTACCAACTAACTTATTAGTTATCAATTAGTTTGTCATTATTATTTATTTATTTATAACATGTATTCATTTGATTAGTTTGTTGTACAATACATATACATACATACATATATATATATAGGGGTTCATTCAAGAAAAAACTGATTAGTTTGTGATAATTGTGAGATTCAATCTCAACCACAAATCAATGAATAAGTTAAGAAACTAATATTTTTGGTAATTTGACTTAAAATTATAATTAAATGGTATTTTAGGTATTTTAAGTTTTTTTAATCTCTCCTCTCTCTCTCTCTCTCTCTCTCTCTCTCTCTCCTATCTCCGGCCTTCGACGAACATCATGTGATACCTAAAATACACCATGATACACAATGTGATACCCGAAATATATACAATGTGATACTCAAAACACATCAAGTAAACTTTGAGACCACTGTGATACCAAGTGTCAAAAATGTTCACATGTGGGTGTTTAGTGGTCGATCATCGAAGACGAAGTCTTGGTCAAACAAGATGACCGGAGGAGGTCACAGAGGTTGGTGGTGGGTGCCGGAGAAGCCCACCGGATTTGGTTTGTGTGTGTGTGTGTATATATAGACATATATTAAAATAATTAAACTAATTAAAGTAAAATTGAAATATTAAATTAATTAAACTAAACTGAATAATCAACACAATTTACTAATTTACCATTTGTTTTTATTTTAGTAAATAACATCAATTATCTAAATGATTGACTCATATTATACCTCACAATTACCACAAAACTGTTAGCATGTAATGTTTATATTGGCAATAACATTTTTATATTGTTTTTCTTTCACTTATAAATATTGATATCGCACAACTACAAAATATCTAAATCAAGGTTTCTATAATGAGAACACGTTTTATTTTTCCTTAGTTGAAGGGTAAAAAAAATTATGTTCGTGAAAGTGCAGTCGTATTAATTTGTTGTGTGCGGTCGTATGTATTTTGAAACTACAATGAGAACACGTTTTATTTGGTAGTTGGTACAGTTGGTTTGCGAGACTTTTCTTCCACCCCAGACCCAAGTTCGAATCATATTTTTCTTAGTCAAATTGTGCCACCGTTTAAAAAAAAAATTATAGCTTCGTCCCTGACGACAATGACACACTTGTATGGACGTCATTTATGTTATATTCATATATTAGTGAAAGTAATGGTTTATTTGATGATATAAATGTCTTTGAATTCAATTAACATTATGCAATATACATCATTCTTAAAGTCAAAATATTCATAATATTTTCATTTTTTATTCTTTGTCTCTCAAAGTTCTTAATAATCTACTCATCTTAACTCAAATTTCCTCTCAAAGTCTCTCAAGACTTACTAGCACTAAGATAAATCACATCTCTCACATTAGCATTTTGTTTGAATACCTTATCGACAGGTCAAATTCATTTTGTTCTTGACATCTTCTAGCCCTACACCCCCTGAACTAAAATGTTGGCTCCGTCCTTGGTGCTTTTTATCGCCAAAGGTTTGAGATACGCCACTTGAGTAACCTCTGTTGATTAGGAAGAACATCTCACGACAAGGAACATGGGAATGGCGATGGTTGTCGCATTAACCCCATTAGTCGTTGCAATATATGAGTGGCGTTGTGGAAAGTTAGTCGTTGTAGAGTGTATAACGACATGTCGTCACTACTCTAAGGGCCCGTTTGGGTTGACAAAATCTTTTTTTAGTGGTTTTAGTTTCTTGGAAGCATCTAGAAATTTTGTTGTGTTTGTTTTGTATGATTTGGAATGAAATGAAATGAAATTCCATTCTTGTTTATAAATCTTGTTTGATTTATAAGATCTATAATGCAATATAAACATTATGATCGTACCAATTATACTTCATTTCAAGGGAATAGAGAAGGCGAGATGTGATATGAGTGGCACTGTTCGAGAACAAGAAAAATTATTTTTCTTTCTTTCTTTTTCCTTCTCTCTTGAGAACACAAATAAAAAAATTATTTTCTCCATTATTTTCTCTCCCTTTTTAGTCCTTCTATTCATTTCCTTTCTTTTCTCTCCAAATTCGAGAACACAATATAAATAATTTCTAAAATACGTCAGGTTGTAGAATTTCAAATCTAAATTTTTCTTTAAACCAGACACAAAAGTTAAAATGAAATTTAATTCAAATCCCTTCAAGTTTCACCAAATCCTGCAAACCAAAAGAAGCATAAGGGGACGTTTACCAAACGCTTACCCGGGTAAGCCTTACCAAGTCACATTACCTTACCGGATGAATGTGATAAGGACCAAGAATCTTACCTGGTAAGAGCGAGACAAGGACCAAAAGCCTTACCCGGTAAATGAGAGCGACGACTCCTACCACGGTAAACGCTTACCGTGTAAATTGTTACATGCGATGTCGTTTTGATGGACTAAAATCTTACCCGGCAAGTAAATAATAGTGTTAAATTTTATCGGTAAGCACTTACCGGGTACGTATTTGATAAACGGTCCCTAAATAATTAAATAAATTAATAATATTCTTTGTAGAAAACCATATCTTCTAATCTTAGAAAAGTTGAAGCAAAAATCAATTTACCGAGAACATGTAGTTGCTATAGCAACCACATTATTTATTACATGAAGCATGTCTTAATTTATAACAAAAGTAAGCATTAAAAATATTTTTTTTAATTCAATCAATTACTTGTTTAAATATTTCATTTGCCTCAAAATCACTTGCATAAACGATTTAAAAAACACTTGTTCCAAATTTTCACGCCGTATTTCTATCCCGTCAATGAAATTAATTAAAAAACATCAGATTTTTTCTTTTTTACATTTATTTAACCCATACGCACATATTATATCTGATTATGTATGTTTATAAACGCCTAATCTCCTTCTCCCGCCACCATTCTTATTTTTCCATTGCCGTTTAGGAATTCACATGCTCTAATTAATCTCGTCAATTGTAATAAATCAAGCTCAATTGCACCCCTACGAAATAACAATCAACGTAACCATTCATTGGGTCACCTACTTACAAAAAAAACACATACAAAAGGTCGAATTAGGGTGATTAGAAGCCTGAATATCGTGTTTAGGTATTGTTGACTGAATAACAAGGGATCACCCAAAAACATATGATATTACTATCGATAAATTGCAAGGACCAATGAATAGTTTATTTAGTAAAAAAAATTTATGCGTAAAAATGAAAGACAAATACACAAAAGAAAGAAAAGGAATGGGAGGTTTGGTAGGAAAAAAAGGGAAACAATGCTCGAAGACGGTGTGGAGTCGTGCGGAGATTAAGATAGAAAAATTAAGTCTACTGTAGGCATCTTCAATGGTAGACTTTTATAAATAAAAAACGTAGTTCTCATAATTTACTACTACAAAGCTGTCTTAAAGTTAAAATACACCTTAGGCCGAATTTTTTTTAAATAAGTGTAGTTTTCTTCTTCTTCTATATTTATTAAAATTTTATTTTTTCTTGCTTTTTTCAGTCACAACATTTTTTCATTCCTTAATTCCATCATTTCTTAGCTGGTTAAAGTTAGATCATGTAATAAATAGTTTGCAACGAAAATAATATATTTTGTTAAATTTTTTGAATATATTAACCATTTTCTATCATATTTTTCTTCACTTGGCATTTTTCTAATGTAATAAAACTAAGAAAAATGTTTTGTCTTTGGGGAAAATTATATCATTTATATTGTAACATCCCATTTCAAGGTACATATATATATATATATATATATATATATACTAAAAGGCGAATGAGCGTGTAAGAAGAGAACATATTGTGAGAAGTGTAAAAAAGATCTAAATTATTGATTGTTTTTATTCTCATGCTCACCAATGAATTGCGCTTTAGAAGGAAACTGACTTGGTGCATTTCGGTGTCCCTTATTAGTGTTGACATTCAATTATGATTGATTCAAGGATGGAGATTTCTTCTTACGTTTTTCACCGTAAGTTCATTTCTTAACAGAATCCAACCGTATACTAAAAAGGGTTAAATAGTTAAATGCTGAGGTAAGATTTGATTAAGCAAAACTCTAGGGTTTGTTGTGTCAATTCTATAAACTAGTAATAATATAAAACGGTTTAAAGAAAAATAGAAGAGAGGATCCGGGAGAAGCCGGATAAGACGATGGTGAATGTTTAGGGCTTCAAAAATATGATTTCTTGGAATCAAACCATCGATTTAAGGTAAGCTTTGATGCTTAAGTTCGATTTCTTGTTATATTTGATGATCGAAAGGGTATTGGGTCTGTTGGGATTTTGTCACAAAAAGGGGAGATTAACGGCCTCCATGGGAGGACAGACATGGGTTTATGTATTTTCTATAAAATCCCATTTTAATGGTGCATATTAAGCTTCATTTGAGTCCCAATATGATAAATCTTGATTTTGATGCTTTAGAACCTAAAATCCTACAAGGAATGGAACAAACTGGGTGTTCCAAATCTTATTAATAGAGGTAATTTGATGGTTAAGTTTAGGGGGTGTTTGGGATTGCTTATTTGAAACAACTTATGTTTTTCTACAAAAACATTTATCTAACTTATTATAAGTCAGAAGAGTTTAACTTATTCAAAAACTCTTTATTACCGGTATAAATTGTTTATCCAAACACTCAAAAGTGCTTATTACCGGTGCCACACCGGAATAAGTCAGTAAGTTGTTTTTATAAGCAATTCCAAACACCCACTTAATTCATGTTTAGAACAGTCTTGAGTCCATTTAAGATATTCAATCAAGAGTTGAAGTTGAACAATTATAACCTTTGACAATCTTTGAAAAAGTCAAAGTTTGGTGAAGAACCTTGAGACATTGAAACCAACATGAAAATGTTAAGATGGTTGGTATGGTTTGTTTCTTAGTAATATTAAGATGATATCAAGAAAAAAATTCCACTCAGACATGTTTTTATGGTAGATTAAAGGTTGTAGTAAAAAAAGTCAAACTGTTTTGCTCAATGCTAAAATCAAGACGTTATAAACAAAATTAAGAGTTGGAATTCGGTGAATATAGTTATGAAAGATATATAAAGGTGTTACAATGATCAAATCAATATTTCATATGGGTTTTATTGGATTTACAAAGTTAAAGAATGTTCAAGTTCGGTTCGGTTTGAACTAAAATATGAAAACTTGTGTTTTAGTTAGACTTTAAGTGAAAAACGAACGTGTGAACCTTCTAAGCATGTTTCAAATTGTATATTAATCACGTCTTGAAGGTTAGAATGTAAGTAAAGAGACTCGTAAGAAATAAGAGTATATGATCGGGCTAAATTACATTATTGTTAAAGGTTATGAAAATCATAATAAATCACTTGTAGCTCGGATTTGAGCCTGTAACACCTTTTAGGTAAACCGTTGGACGTCTTCTACAAATCATTATAAGATTAACCTTCTATAACCGGATTTTAAATAGGCCAAAATTATACTTTCATAGATCTGGACTGTTTGGAGATGTTAAAAAAATTGATTTCTTTTGTCTTAACCCGTATATGGGAAAGGCTAAGGCGAGTTCAAGTAGTCTTAAAACCGGGTACAAGTCAAATTTATGTATTTTACATAACTGATTCATTTCACTTATGTTTGAATATGTGGTTGAAAAATGATTGATTTAAATGAGTGTTGTGAAATGTGGTTATTTACTTCTTTTTACAAACAAAGTAAATTTTAGGTTAAAACTAGCATGCTAAATTATCATAAGAAACGATGTGGAATATGGTTTGATACTCTGATGTTTTGAAACTTGTTGTTTATGAAGCATGCTATTGATTGAAATTTTGGTTAAATAGAATTTGTATACACGAGGTATTGTGAGCTATTTGTTTACTCACTGACATGATGTATTTAGATCCGGATCTGGCGGCTTAGAGTCACCCCTTTTGTGTTTGTATTTGGGTCGCTCCCTTTACAATTAGATGGGTGCTCCCATTTGGTGTTTATGGAGTATCGTGCACTTATCATGCCACATACGCGGTTAATAAGCATAGTGTCTACACGACACAACGTGCACATGGTGATTATGCTGAAATTAGCCTAACGGATAAGTGGATAGCTGGGTAGTGCTCCTTCACTGATTCAGGTTCTTGTGGTAGGTCACCCCCACCTCGTGCGATGGTTGTTACCTCATTTTGAAATTTATAACCACATCTTTTATTGATTCCATTAAAGTAATGTGTTGGTTTGCATATTACCTATGTGTACAAATCATGCATTGTTTTGGAATTCTTGGATCAGTTTTGATTTTTGGTGTAATATTTTATTATATAAACTCTTGAAATCACCAGGCATGAAACATGATTTATTTTTATTTTTTGACGTGTATCCCAGGATCAAGATAAAAGGGTATTATTGGCGGTGTAATTATTGATAGGTAATGCTATTGGTTGATGCAGCGTTTTTTACTACCATTTTGCTTGGGGACCAAAGATTAGTTGAAAATGGTATTCAATAGAGTTAATATCAGTACATTTGGTGTATAATTATAATTAGTAGTTAATGTACCCGGTGCAATGCAAGCTTTTGGTTTTGGGAGTTGTTTAGTGTATGTGTAAATATGATTCACATGTTATAAAATAGGCAAATGATGAGTTTATGAATAAGTCATGCCGAATTTTTGTTAGAAGTTTAGTCTAAAGCATAGGGTGTTACATCAAATGACACTCGTAACATGTATAACAGTGAAGGATAACGTTAGTTTTTTGCTTAATGGTTCAATGACTTATTTACTCGGTCACTAAACATTAATTTTTTTGGTTAATGGTTGAGTTAGAACTTAACTATTTACTTATGTTTCATTCCTTAACTTTTCAAACCTATGGATCCCTTTAAACACATACAAAAACTTTGTAGATGAATTATAACATTGTCAGAAGAAATCCTTTTTGAGATTGAATCTACGGCCATATGATAAAGATTGGAAGCCAATCGGTGTTAATCAGTATGTTAGATTAAATAGTTCTTATTTAAACGGTTCATATTATGTTACTCAAAACATGTATCACACAATAATTCTTCAGTCAATATTTAATCAAATAAGAGGGGTGAGCGAGCAAGTTTGTTACTTTTATCTAGTAACACTGAACAAAGAACAGTTGATCTAAATCCAAATGCATAACTTTTATCAGATATGCAATTAATCATGCAAATTTTAATGGGGAACAACTGGTCTCATAGTTAACACACAAAGTTTGTGAGTTGGCTTGTTAAAATTTTGACAAGCTCGACCCTGTGATGTGAGTGATCCAAGTCGATTCAAAGCAAGCCAATTTAACTCTTTGACTCAAGTTCAAGTATTACTCGTCTTGGGTTTTGACAACTCTCCGGTTCAAGGTTAAATGACAAAATCTATATACTTGTAAAAGGATATAATCTTTTAGTTTTAACTTGTCTAGGTACCTAGAACGTCTCCAATGGAATTACATATAACAAAATACTTTTTATAATATTTTTTTTTGTCACATCATTGTCAACTTATCAAATTAAGAACATCCATAATATTTCACAGGGGTGGACTAAATGCACCCCTACCTGATACTCTCATTTTCATACATATCAACATCAAAACTCATTTTTTACATTCTCAATACATGAATTAACCTGATTTTGACGTAACAAAAAAAAGATACATATAACAATCTCCAACTTCACAACCTAGTCACTTATTAACCCCCCCCCCTTTTTTTTTGGTTTCATGTACTTTTTTTAATCATTTATTTTTTATAATTTTTTAAATCAATTAAAAACTAATAAAGCATCATTTCACACAAAATTCAATACAAAAATTAAAATTTTTATTAATGCTCTAAAAACATAGTGAGTTATAAAAATTATTGATAATGGTAGTGCAATTAAGGCCAACCTTAGGCATAAGCAAATAAGGTCATTGTGGCACTATTAATTATGAAAGGCTAATCTTTAATTAGGTGAATAATGTATTAATGATGGATTTATGATTATAATTATGCATTAAGTATCTTTCTTGCAAAAAAAAAAAAAAAATAGTTAGTTATCTAATTATAGTCATAATTACAATTTGTATCTCTTATATTGAATTCATTATTTATTTTATTGAATTTTATAAATACTAAGGAGGAATTATTGTTGAAACATGTCAAAGTTAAAGCGAAATAAATAAATAGTTATATATATATATATATATATATATATATAGGGTTGGGTTCACGTGAGACCAAAGTTTTTTCATGAGACCCGTAAGACCAATTTATGTTCATTGATCAACTTTATACGATAATGATCTAATGGTCTGAAGTTGCACGGTGGCAATTTTGTGATTATTGAGAAGTCTCGTAGCAATTTTGTGATTATAAATGTTCAGATTGTAGATCTAATCTAAGGGTTGAGAATTGGTCTTACAGGTCTCACGAAAAATCTTTGGTCTCACATGTATATATATATATATATATATATATATAGGGGCTGGTTCAAATAGAAACCAACCATATGGTACAAACTATGTGAACCGATCTTGATCGTTCATTTTATCATCAAACAGTTATTATTAAATGAGATTAAATAAACAATAATTTAATTAATGTATTAATTGATATGTGTATGAACAATTGTTCAAAGGGTAAATTGGTCAAACGGACATTATTAAATGAGTATTAAAAAATAATCAATTAATCATTAAATTTATTGGGCTGCTTATGAACAATTTGTTCACAGGGTATTTTGGTAATAAATCCTCACGCATCGTGAACCCGATATTCTCCAGCCGATTTGTAACCTACGATCGATTATGAACATATTCACAACTCATGTTCACATGTCGKCCCTATGCTCGTGTGAACAGCATCTGTGTCTTGCAATGTAAACACTATGTTCATATGTTCATATATGTTCACATGTCGGCCTTATGTTCGTGTGAACATCATCTGTGTCTTACAATGTAAATATTATGTTCATATGGTGTGATGTTTTTCAATGTCATACCGTATGACATCGTCACGGGTTCGTGTGAACAACGATTGTGTCTTTCAATGAAAACAAGYTGTTCATATGGTGAACATATATGAACATAGACTGCAAGAGATGCACATATATGAACATTTTCAAAATCAAGGATCGTTGTGCATGTGTGCAGATATGAACATAGACTGAAAGCGTTTATCGTCTTCATTATTCTGACATTCTTTTACAATAGGATTCTCCATGTATCTTGAACGAAATGAAAATCTTGTACACTTAGACAACCAATTTCAATATATGTATAAAATCAATTGAAATGAATACCATGAACATGAAATAATAAAGAAATCATAAAAATCTCATGAACAATTAGATGTATCTTTTAATATTTGTAACTCCCAATTAATTATAATTATTGGGGGTTACAAAAAGATTGAATTACCAAATTACCCTTATCATTAATTTATAATTTAGATTTGAACCTAAAGTGAAGAAAGAATGTGATTGGTCAAGATCGGTTTCCATAGTTTGTACCATATGGTTGGTTTCTATTTGAACCAACCTCTATATATATGAGCCTAATCAAATGAGAACTAATTAGTTTGTGATAACCGTGAGGTCCAATCTCAACTATAAATCAATAGATAAATTAGAAAATTTATAATTTTGGTAATTTTTAATTAAAATTATAATGCAAGGACATTGTAGGTATTTTCTCTCCTCTCTCCTATCTCCTCTCTTCTCTCTCCGTTCCCCGGCCTCTGGCCACCGTTCTCCAGTGATGCCACCGTTCTCCAGTGATAGCACAGTGGTATCACAATACATCTTATATGTGATTGGGTATCACACTGTGGTCGTTTGTGTCGTCGATCGGATATGTAACACAGTGGTATCACAATACATCTTATATGTGCTTGAGTATCACACTGTGGTATCACCGGAGAACGTTGGCCGAAAGACGAAGACGGAGAGAGAAAAGAGGAGATAAAATACCTAAAATGTCCTTGCATTAAATTTTTTTATTAAAAATTACCAAAATTATAAATTTTCTAATTTATCTATTGATTTGTGGTTGAGATTGGATCTCACGGTTACCACAAACTAGCCAGTTTTCCCTTGAATGAGCTCATATATATAT